TTTTTTTTTTTTTTTTTTTTTTTGGTGGTACTAGGGATTTAACCTAGAACCTTCTCATTGAGCTACATTCCTAGCACTTTTTAAAATTTTGAGGCATCATCTTCCTGAGTTGCTAAGGTACCCAGGGTTGTCTCAGACTTGTAGTCCTCCTGTCTCAGTCTTCTGAGTAGCTGGGATACAGGTATGTGCTAGAGTGCCTGGCTTAAAACATTACTTTCATCATATTGTCTGTAGAAAGATTTTTACTCACTGTAGTTATTTGGTACTAGGAATCGAACTCAGAGCCTTGCACTTGCCAGGCAGGCACTTCGTTGCAGAGCTACATCCCTAGCCCTAGGCTTTCTTAAATTTAGTCCCACCTTAACCATCCAATTATCTTTATGCTCTTTTCTTCTGTGAAAGAGTTCCTCTACCTCTGGGTAGGCTGCTTTATTTTCTTTATGTTGAATTTATATTATTTATTACCTTTTAGTCCTCAGAATATATTCACCCCCTCCCCCCATACCAGGAATCGAACTCATGACCTTGCGCATGCCGGACAGGCGCTGTGCCACTGAGCTAAATCCCCAACCCCTTTCTTCTTTCTTCTTTATCTACCTTCTATCTTTCGTTGGTTGATATTTGAAATTCTTTTAGTACTTACTGACTGTGTATTATTCTGCTTTGCCACTCCTTATATTATTTGTAAAAATCCTTTATGTTTCTCTTATTTTTCTTGTGCATAGTTCTATATCCTCAGAGTACATAGATAAGATGGTAGAGTGAAGAGAATGAAACAGATCTGGTTTTAAATCATGACTTTTATACGTACATACTCTGTAGTGATGAGAAAGATACCTAACTCTGTTTCAGTTTTGGGCATTTTCTATAAAGAAGGAAGATAATATCTTTCCTTCAAGAGGGTTGGGAAGATTAAATTACCAGGTTATTTACTAACACACAATAGAAAAAAAGAAATTTCTGTCAGTCTCCTTTCCCTGTAACTTCAGTACTAGCACATAATTTATATTTTCTAAATAATATATATTTTTTTTCAGAAATCAGATCATACAGACATTCTATACTCCAATACAAAAAGAAGGCAAGAACTAAAAAGGTAAATTCCCTCCCTTTTTTGGTATCCTAAACTTTTTTTGGCTGAATATTATGAGAATGATGCTCAGATTTATTAATCTTTTATTTACTTTGATTATTACTGTTTTTATATGACAGATTATGATTACTGAACTTTTAAGAAAAAATTGAGTGAAACAAAAAGTGTTCCAAAATGATTGTGTAATTGATACTAAAATACAAATTTTAATCTCAGTGGATTTGGTTTGGGCCCATGTTTATAAGATACATAGCTTTGTTACATACATGGTACTAATAAAGAGCTTAATTTAAAAATGATGGATAGTGGCACATAGCATGGTGTCACATGCCTGTACCCCAGTACTCAGAAAGCAGAGGCAGGAGAAGCAATGCAAGTTCAAGGTCAGCCTGCACTACAAAGTAAGACCCTGTCTCAAAACACCAAAAAAAAAAAAAAAATTATTTTTATGTATATAGAAAATGTGAACTGTGCTAAATTGGTATGGCTAGAAAGTTAGTTTTGATTACACCTAGAGAACTTGAGGAATATTGTGGGAATAATGGAAGTTATTTTTCTTTATTTTTATTTTTATTAGTACATATTTTTACTACATAATGGTTACATTCATCGCAGGGAGTTAGTATATGTACGTAACACAACTTCTTTTTTGTCTCCCCTCTCCCTCCTCCTTAATTTCTTCATTCTTCAGATAAAAATTGCAGAGAATTTGGTAGTAAAGGTATTTCTTGCCATTAATTGGAGTTAATAAGTATAAAAAACATAATGCATGACAAAAGTTGGTAAGGTTAAGGTTTCTCTGAAGATAGGGAATAATGGGAAAAACAGTTTAAATGGCATTAAACGTATTAATGTAAGTTCTGCTTCCCAAACAGTCTCAGTTAATGTCTGGTAAAAACCAAAACTAAAATCTTAACTTTCCCACTTTTCTATTCTTTTTCTTTTTTTTGGAGACAGGGTCAGAGTCTGGTTACACAGTTCAGGCTGGCCTTGAACTTGTTTATGTGTCCCTTCTCAGCCTTTTGGCTAAGATCAAGTGTGAACTTGCTTATGTAGTCCAGGTTGGCTTCAAACTGATAGCGATTCTTCTGCCTCAGCCTTCTGAGTGCTGGGATTACAGGTGTGCACCACCATGTCTGGCTTAGTCTTTTTTTGAATCATCTTTTTTTTGGTGGTAGTACTTTGCATCTATATTGTCATCTGTTGGAAGTACCGTTTATCACAAATTTTGTATTATGCTTGACTATTGCCTACTAAAAAATCTTTTTTCTGAGCTGAGGTTTGTAGTCCAGGTTGATTTTGAACCTACTGTGTAACCCAAGCTGGCCTCAAACTCACAGTAATCCTCCTGCCTCAGGTTTACAAGTGCTGGGATTACAGTTGTGCCACCATGCCCAGCTTTTGCTAAATTTTTTTTGAATTCGATTCTTACTACATTTTATATTGTCCTATCAAAATTTTAAAGTTCTCTAAAGCACAACTATTCACTACTTATCTTTTGCGTAAGGGCACCTTTTTTAACCCTTCTTAGATCCATATATATAAGAGGATACAGTATACGTAGATTTTTGTTTGATAGCGTACCCACCAACCCCTATCCTGACTTGTCTATATAGTCTTTAGAAGAAAGATGTAAGCTATTGAATTCTTTGGACACTAGGTTTTTAAATTATTCTAGGGTTACATTGAAGTTTGGCTTGGCCTAAGTATTCAAAATCTGCTAGTTGACTTCAGCCTTCGGAGTAATAAAAAGTTGAATACTTTAGTAACAATTTTGGTATGTTGAAACCTGTGTTTTGGTTACCATCTTATCATCAGAATATCAACATCAGTAATATGACAAGCCATGCCATTTAGTGTTACTAAGATCTGAATGGTCATCTTCAGATACTGGCAAGTACTCTAGACGTAACCTAGTGAAAAGTTTTGTTAGCTAAGCAATATTGTTTGTTTCGTTAAACAAACAATATGGCATACTAGCTGTTTTAGATCTGTCTTGTCATTTATCTGTATAAGATTCAAACAGTATGGCATAGGAACTATTATATATTTACGAATTTACTTTCACAGAAGAAAACTGTGATACTGTGTTCTGTAGACATTGATACCAATAGTGTATTTCTAACAACCATTGGTTTACAAAGAAAGTAGATCCTTTGCTGCTGTCGTTCACTTACTGCAGAAGTAAACAAACTTCTCCTTAAATTTATAAATATTTCTGTATGGTATGTAGGGGCTGGGGCTGTAGCTCAGCGGCACAGTGCCTGCCTTGTAAACACAAGGTCCTAAGTTTGATTCCTGGTACCAAAAAGAAAAAAAAAAGATACATTGTATATAGTATCTTCTATAAAAATTTCCATAATTAATTTAGCTCTACAGATCTTGAAATTAGTTTACAAATAATGAAAGCTGAGACACAGATTGGAATATCAGAATTTTCATCTGGAAAGCCATTACATTACATTATTAACGTAACATTACATTATTAACATAATTCCTGTTCCATGATTTAAGAATATATGTAAGTGTATTAATGATAAAAATAACAAGCAAAGGTAATAATATAGTATTATGTCTGCTTTTAGTATTCAGAAAGTTTCCAATGCAAATGTTTTCAATATTCAGAGAGTATTTCTTTTAAGCAGTGAATGCTGTTAAATAAGCTTTTGTTTTGATGTTACTTATTAACATATAAATGATAGGCAGTCTTTTTGTATAGAAGTGATAGCAGAGAAAATAAGACCAGGTGTAGACTTAGGTGAAACTTCTTTAAAAACTACGAGATGTTTATAGTTTGCTCTTACATAATTAATCGAGAAGTCATTTGTTTATTATTTCTTTCTTTCCTATTGGGATGAAGGTAAGTGGAGGTAAGGACTCTAATGTGTTCTCTACTGCCTTTCCAGGACTTAACATAGTGACTGACTCTTAGAAGGCACTTAAGGATTTATTGATATAAATTAGTGGGTTGTGTTTGAAACTTTCCACTTTTTGACTGGAAAGTAGCATCTGCTTTTATAAGCAGGACAGTATTAGCGCATCTAGGCATTGCTGCTTGTAATATTTTAACATATTTTTTACTGGTCTTTTCACTAGTCTTATTTAAATTATCATTTGAAATGACCAGGATATTCCATTTTATGACTGACTTTTAAAAAATAATTTCCAAAATTATAGCATATGCTTTCTACACGATTTTTGTGCTATTTAAATTATCTTGAATTAAATTGCCTCTTAAATTTTTTTTAGCTCATTTCTTGTTTCACCTTGATAGAGATTTCTAAAATGGGAATTACTGAGGACTCGAAAAATACAAATTTTTTTTTTGGTATCAGGAATCAAACTCATGACCTTGCGTTGCCAGGTGGGCACTGTGCTGCTGAGCTATATCCCCTGCTCAATATGAACATTTTTAGAAATCTCAGTGTATATTGTCAAATTCCTTTGTAGAACTGTCATACTATTTTTCATCCCATCTCCAGCTGTATTTTGAACCCAGGGCTTTGAACCTTCTAGACAAGTACTGTATCACTGATCTACACCTTAGTTCTTTTTTTTTTTCCTTCTAATTTTTGTTTGTTTTGTTTTTGCATCAGAGTCTTGCTAATAAGTTTGCTCTGGGTGGGCTTGAACTTTAATCCTCCTTCAACTTTCCAAGTAGCTGGGATTACAAACTTGTACCATCATGGGGGCTGGGGATTTAGCTTAGCGGCAAAACGCCTGCCTGGCAAGTGCAAGGTCGTGAGTTCGGTTCCCGGTACCGGAGAAAAACCAAAAAAAAAAAAAAAAAAAACAAACCACAAAAAACCCAAAACAAACTTGTACCATCATGATAGTTTTTAATGCTACTTTATAATCTTTGCTAATTTGGTGGAGAAGATGATATATTATTGTTATAATTACTGTGCCTATGATTACTAGGGAAGTTGAATGATTTTTTCAAATATTATTTTCTTTCATTCATTTTTGTGAGATGTATCCTTGAATCTCAGTAAGCTTTTTATTTTCTAAGAATAATAGGTTTTTATATGTATCTAGTAAATATCATTTCCCAGCTGTTTTAATTTTTGTCATTTTTGAAATCCTAAAGCTTTAGTTATTTTTTTCTTCCATTGGTACATTTAGAAAATTTTGCATTTAGCATCAAATATTCCCTTTATCCTCCATTTATTAAAAATTTAGTGAGAAGTATAGCAATTATGATAATTTTATGCTTAAGTGTTTAATTTACTTCGAATTTATATTATCTGATGCAATATAAAGTCGAAACTTTTTTCCAAATAGCAAACCAGTGAATCTAGTACTATTTGTTCAGTAATTCCACTTCATTCTTGAAGTAAGCCATTTCTTTTTATGAAGTTGAGAGTTAGCACATTCTCTCACCCAAACAAAAATTATACAGTACAACAATCTGTATAATTGCAATATAACCTAGATTTCTGTGCTGCTTTACAGATTGAATGTAGAAATTGACATGTCCAGGAAGAGACCAAAAATCAGTTCTTCATCCCAAGGACCTAGTAAACTCCAAGAAGCATCATCTTCAACGAATAATCAAATTATTTCGCAGAGTACTTCAAATGGAACTAAAAAATTGAAGAGACTTAAAGAGATTAAATTTATAAATGTTACAAGTAAGCTTGACCATGGAATTAAATGCCTTACCGATCCTGAAACTTTAAAAGACACGAAATCTAAAATGGAAGACCAACCAAGGGCAAAGGAATGGTCTCATCTGCTTGCTCAGACAGAGAAGATGAAAGAACTCAAGAGAGGAAGAAACAAATTTAGAGATAGTTCTGAAAAATGTAAACATAAGAAAAATCAATTTTCTCAAGATTGTGATTCTAATAAGATTATTCATGAACCCTTTGACTCTAGAACGAGCAAGATCAGCTTCAAAATCCCAGTAAAATCCTGTAATACCCTCCAGAAGCTCGTAGAAGAAAATGTCTTCAATTTAGCTTCTAATAAGGTAAAGACTAAACAAGAAGCGAGAGGATTCCCCGAAGGCTCCCAGGTTTCATTAAATTTGACCAGGCATAAAGCTGAACGTTTACTTTTAGATTCCACATATAAACAGACTCTTTGTGAACAAAAAAGAAAAAATCTTGAGCATCAAGAAAGTAATGATTCAAGTTCTAAGGAAAACCTTACTCAGGTAAGGTAGTACAAAATGAGGAATTTGATTTCAGCAAAAAAATTCATATAGTCAAGTTTTAGTTATTTCTGATACTGATAATCGTGGAGTGCTGATTGAAATTTAGACACGAAGACATGTATTGGTTTCTTGTTTTATTCTAATTCCAGCTTCCTTAGGAAGATAATTCTAGCAGTTATCAAGGGTCCATTATAGAAGGGAATGTGTGATTGTATGCAGAGAAGCAGTTAAAGATAGACCTGTGAAGAAAAGCACTGTAACAGTCTCTTAGGCTCCTTTCTAACCCCAGATACTAGAGAACCCTTAGGGGTTAATAAAATTCTTCAACAACTTTTTTTCCATGCTCCTGTGTTCCAGGCACTGTATTAAAGTACCCTGTAAAAGAAACACAGTCTCAGGCAGGCATAGTGGTGCATAACTATAATCTTAGTACTCTGGAAGGCTGAGGCAGGAGTGTTACAAGTTGGACCTCAGTTGGTTAATTTAGTGATTTATCAAGACCCTGCCTCAAAATAAAAAAAAAAAAAAATAAAAAGGGATTGGGATGCAGTACCACAATAGTAAACAAAGGGTGAAGTCTCTGTTTTCAAAGACATATTTATATAAGGAGAGATAGAAGCAATTTCCTTAAATCTGATAAGTAAAGTACTTACTAATAATAGAAAGATGGCATGAGACTAACATAGCCTTGATACACTGAAGTAGTTGGGAAAGGTTTACTGGAGGGATCACATTTACACTGAGAAACAAGGAGTGAGGAAGAGTTACTCGGGTGAAGATGAAGTTGAGTGGAACGGGGAAGCGGGATATTCCAGGCAGAAGGACTAAGTGAACAGAAATCCAGGCTAGAAAGCTTGGCATATCTGTTTTGCTTCTAGATTTTGTAATAAATTGGTATTTTGGGGCTGCTTTTGAGACTTTATGACTTTGTTTCTACAAACATAAAAAGTTTCTTCAACATAAATAAAATTATGTTGAAGAGGACTTCTAAAAGTTTGGAACATGAAAGATTCTGAAATTTAGAGACTGCTTTTAAACAGGGATGGTTAAGCTTGCTTGTGTTTGAGACCATAGATGGCAATAGTGAATCGCAATTATTCTTGTGTAAAATGGAGGGATTATAGCTAAAGAAGAAGAGCTTGAGAAGGTATATTTTTAATTCAAATGAATTTGAAGAGGCCTACAGAGGGAAAGAATTGAGTTTGTTCCTGCTGGCTTCTTAAAGGGAAAACATCGCCAGTTTGTGTATTATAATCAGTTCTCTAGAGTGTGAAAGGAACTTGAAATTGTCAGTATGTTCATTTGTCATTGTAGCACTGCTTCTTGTCACCCTTGTGCTGTACATAAAAGGAATAGTATGAGAAATCTTTGTAACACATCCCCTCCTCCCTGTGTTTAAAACCAGGGAAGGTCTACTACTGAGCAACAACATTCCTCACTGGACCCTCCTGCCAGTCCTTTTTGAGACAGGGTTTTGTTCATGCTGGCCTTAGACTTGTGATCCTCCTGCCTCAGCCTCCCAAATAGCTGAGATTAAAGGCATGTACCAACATGCCTAGCCTTATTGTGTTTTTGAGCTCTGTATAAAACTACACAAACCAAAAGAAATGCCTAGTATGAATATTAAGTGGAAGGGGAAGCAGTTTTTTCATGATTACTTTTTATCAGAATTAAAACTTAGAAACTGTTACTTTAAGGGTAGCATTATCTGACTTCAAATTCTTAGACTCTGGAGCAGTGTGGTGTGGTGGCCCATGCCTATAATCTCCACACTCAAAAATCTGAGACCAGAGGGTTTTGAGTTTGAGGGTAGCCTAGGCTACATAGTGAGACCTGGTCTCAAAATAAAATTTAAAAGGGCTGAATTTGTAGCTTAGTGATAGAATACTTACCTAATGTGTGTGAAGTCCTAGATTCAAGCTCCTGTACTTTAGGCAACAAAAAAAGAACAAAGAAAAAAACAGTATTTACCTAGACACTGGTGCCACAAGCAAATATTGCCCTTATATTGAGTATATTAACTTCAGAAATTATTGACAGGATATAATCATCTTAATGGCGTATTTGTTTTGTTGTACTTAATAATTTCTTGATTTCTTTATTATTTTTCGAAAATAATGAGTGTGCTTTACAAGGAACCAATTGTATTTTTCCTGGATTTAGTAGTCCTGTTATTAGATAACCTTGTTAATGCTTTCTTAAAAAATAGCCAGATATGGTGGTGCACACCTGTAATCCCAGCACTTGGGAGGCTGAATCTGGAGGATCATTGCAAGTTTGAGGCCAGCCTGGGCTACAAAGTGAGCTCAAGGCCAGCCTGAGCTGCCTAGTGAGACCCTATCTCAAAAAGACAGAAAAAAAAAACAAACCTTTTGTTCTTAGGCTTTATAGTCTTTTGATTCAGATCCTTCTCAGAGGCAACCCTCTCACTCCCAATCCAAATTAATGTTCTAAAGATTTATAGTTTATCAGTTACTCTGTGTGTGTGTGTGTGTGTGTGTCTGTCTGTCTGTCTGTCTTTCTAATCTGTACATATTCTACCACCTAGCATACCCCCTTTTATTTATTTATTGGTACCAGGAATTGAACTTGGGATCTTGTGCTTGCCAGGCAGGCACAATTCCACTGAGCTATATTCCTGGCTCCATACCCCCTTTTAAGAATAGCATTGTATATAATCCTTACAAATCTGAAAGGACAGACCCTACAACAGAGAATTACCTGACTCTGTGTGTTAATAGTGTCAAAAACTCTATTCTGGGTATATTCTTCATTCTTAACTACTTCTAACTTCACTCTTACTTTTTATTTCAGAGTTTTGAAGCACCGTGTTCTTCAGTGTCACCTGAAAGTATTCAAGATACTGATCAAGAGGTTATTGATATACTTATCTACTTCTACTGTTTTTAATGAAATTCAAGTAGTTCCTATTTTAATAGAATATCTGTGAAAATAGCAATGATTCTCCCTTTAAATCAATACATGAATTTTTATAAAGTCCTCCAAAACTGTTGGAGAAGTATTTACTTTTACCTGTGTGCTTTTTTTTAACCTGTGTTTATAACAATGTGTTTTGAAGAAAAATATGGAGCTTATGGCCCCACACATTATCCGATTTTTGAGTTACGCCTTTTGCATGTGTATGCCTAGAGTTGCCACAATGCAGTATGACTTTAACATGTTTTTGCTTCCCTTTTTTACTCACCAGTAAGATGAAATTATTATTCATTGGAATTGAGACCACTTGAGTTTTTTATCTTTTCACTCATTTCATTTCCCAGTTAAAATCTCCTTATTGGTCCTCATAGAATTGTTGGATAGAATTTTATGATCCTTAGTCCTGAATTGAAATTAGGTTCATGAAACACTTACTTTACTTTTAAAATATATCTCAGTAACTTTATTTGTGATAATCATTTGTATATTTCTGTTTGTAGGTCAGAACCTCTTAATAATTTCTCACATCTGCTCTAAAACTACATTATTCTTTCATTTATTTACATCAGAATACATCACTTACATGGGTTTGCTTGTGCTGGGAAGTACTTCTTAGAGTACTTTGAAGTAAGAGTGGGAGGCGTAGGATTGAGAATTAACTGTCTGTGTACAAGGGTGTATAAATACTGTTTCACTTAATCCTCACAAAACTTCTAAAAGTATTGTTTAATATTCTGATTTTGTAAATGAGCCACTAAGACCCAAAGTAGTTGGTTTTCTTGTCTAAGGTTAAATAAATAATAAGAGAAGAACCATGTATATATTTTATGTCTGTAATCTTTTACTGTGCTGCTTGCCTATTTCTATATTCTTCCCACCAATTATTTCAAGTGACCTAATTAATAATTAATTGCTTTATTCTCTTATTAACCTGCAGAGTAATTTACTCAAAATATTTCACTGGGATCTTTTACAATTTAGATGCAGATAGTAGAAGAGCTTCATGCTGCACGTGTGGGAAAAAGCATGGATTTACCTGTGGTTCCACCTTCTGGGGAGTTAATGAGTATGGAAATTGATGTGGTGGAAGATGATGTACATTCTTCTGCTGGTATACCTTGTATGTTAATGTTTATCATCTGTGCTTTTGGAAGAATTACTGTGTCAACATCCACTTTTTTCAATATTTAGATAAAAATGTTAAAATTTGCTTATTTGAAATGATAAGGGAGGGGCTGGGAATTTAGCTCTGTGGCACAGCGCCTGCCTGGTAAGTGCAAAGTTGTGAGTTCAATTCCCGGTACCGGAAAAAAAACAAACAAAAAAACCAAAACAAAAAAAAAGAAAAGATAGGGTATTTTTTTAGCTTTTAAAAATCAGATCTAATATTTGTCTTATGTTTTAGGTCTCACATTATTAGGAACTTAGGTATATTTTTCTGTCTTGCCAAAAGGCAATAAAGTTGTGAGTTATTTTTATTCCTGTTCTTAAACATAACTTTTAACTTTCAGCTGTGTAAAGAACTGATACACAAGGTAAACCATTTCAAGGTATTATATTTATGGGTTCCTTGCAGTATAGGTAAATTCTGGTTATTTTTACTGTGAGAGAAGATAATGATAAATATTATCCAAAGGTATTAGTACACTATGTTGAATTCTGTTTATAAAAACAGTAATGCTAATTTATGTTTACATTTTTCAATTTACTGTTTTCTATTCATTAACTTACATGATGATTCTCACAGAAACCATGTGAAATAGCAGTGCTAGTATTGTTTTCTTTCTTTTATATATATTTAGATTTTCAATTATATTTTGCTCAGACTATATTAAAATTAGCTTATATATTGCCTGAGTATGCAATTTCAAGTGATGTAGGACAGAATTTAGAGACATTGTTACTACTGGGGCAAGTTCATGATTTAAAATATACCTAAGCAATTTACGATATTCTACTGGCAAATAATTAAACATTGGTTGCTGTTCTTTTCCTTAAGAATTGGAATGAAGGCAATTTTGTTTTCCTTGTCTAATGGTCTTCCTGTCACCATGGGTGTGGTGGTGCATGTCTGTAATCCCAGTGCTCAGGAGACTGAGGCAGGAGGATCACTGTGAGTTCGAGGCCAGCCAGATCTACATAGTGAGACCTTTTCTCAAAAAACCCAAACAAATAAAAAGACCCCCGCCCCCCGCAAAGGAATGCTGTCAAGAGCACTCTTCTGGGCAATTCATTGTCTTAGCCCCAAGTCTTCCTGCCATTTTCTGTTACACCAGATCTTATCTTCTATATGTACTTGGACTTAGATGAATCTTGCCCTAACCCCTCTCAATACTCATCCATTCTCCATCCTTACCTGTCTTCCCCCAAGCAGGGGTTGTGGTTTCTGCCCTGGATCCCCTGGATTGATTGTGTGGAAATTTATTTGGCAGGAAAAGTGATGGGTTAGATAGCTGTCCACTTTAGAGTCACTCACATGTGTGATCCTCTTATATAGTTAAGTTAATAAGGCACAGAGTGGTTTTAAATGTTTGTGTTTCTATGGTATAAAAATTTTAGTCATTATGCAAGTCTGATATTAAATGTGATGAAATCCTGTTTATTTTTTTTTTTAAGCAAATACTGTTTCAGACAAAAAGCTTCTTCTAATTGTTGTTGACACAAATATTCTGATGAATCATCTCAAATTTGTTAGAACTTTGAAGGCAACAGAAATATCAGGTATTTACAAAACATATTTGAGATTCTGATTTTCTTTCTTGAGTTAATATTTTATATTAACACTGATAGAGGGTTTTCCTTACAAACATCTCTGCTTGTATGCCATATGATTGATACATATAATGTAATAGCATATGTTATGTTATATATATTATATATATAATGTATGTATATCTCCCACGTATAAAGCATAAGTGATTTAAGTTAAAAGACAAATCCTTCACAGATTAACCTGCTTACTCTATATCTAACAATCACTCTTTTTTCGTTTTTTTTGAGACGGTATTGCTGTGTAGTTCAGGGTGACCTTGAACACACTGTGTAGCCCAGGCTGGCATCAGATTTTTGCTGCTCTTCCTGTTCAATTAATAGTTCTTTTTAATATTATTCATTGCAATTTAAAATGATTCATTTGGTTGTTGTGAACTTGTTTACATTAGAAACCTTTATTGCAGAAATCATACCTGCTGGTCTCTTTTGTTCTCTAGTAACTTTTTTAGCGTTCTTTGGACTCCTGTCTTCTTTATACTTTCCATTTTAAAAAAATGTCCTTTTTTTTAATGTATTGTCCCTCCTTTTTGGTGAATTTTTTAAAGGTCGGGATTGTGTGCTTTAAATTTTTTCTTACAGAAATTTGATTTAGTAGCTTGATAAATGTTTATTGCATTCTAAGAAATCTTTTTATTCTTTAGGTTTTGACAGACTTGTGTTAATAATTCCTTGGATTGTTGTGCAAGAGTTAGATCGAATGAAGGCAGGAAAACTACTGAAACATGCCCAGCACAAAGCTGTACCTGCAGTTCGTTTCATCAATGACAGTCTCAAAAACCAAGATAAAAAGCTATGGGGTCAATCAATACAACTTGCTTCTCAAAAACTTTGTAAGTATTATTCCTGATAAAGGCTTGTTTGGGTGCTGATTCATTATTAGAAGGAAATGGTGCAAAACTTTTAAAGCTATATTCATTGGAATATAAAATGGAAAGGGCATTGTAATGGTGTGTGACTTATTTTGTGACTCGCTTTTTATTTTTCCGCTGCGTGTAGATTCTCTCAATTATTTCAGAGATAGTGCATAGTTCTGTATGATGCTTGTATATATTACAGAACCTTGGGTTCTTTTTTAAAAAAAAATCATTATTGAGTAATGAGGTCAGTCAGTGATGTAGGTTTCTGTTCTATCACTGCATGTAGTTAGTATACTACAGAGACAAATGTTTTTTCTGTGGTTTGTCAGAATCTGAGATAATTATTTGAGTTGCACTCATGAGACTTCATTTAATGACTGAGTTGCACTCATGAGACTAGATCATTAAATGAATTGGTTACTAAATGAGGCATTGTATGTAGTATGTTCACTGTTTAGAACAAAGAAATGTTCAAAGGAAATTTCAATTTGATTACTTTGCTTTTATGTACATAACACTTTTTTTATTTTTTTATTTCATTTTATTTTTCCCTGTGAAGACTTTATTTTGTGTTGTGTGTATCCTTTATAGCAAGTTGGCCCTTCTTAACAGATGAAATTGTTCCCTTTTTGAAAGCACCCACTCACCCTCTCCCCCATCCTTAGCGTGTTTTGTATCAGTGATCATTCTGAACTGTACATAATTGATGTTGCAAGAGACAAAGGGCAAGCTTTAGATTTTATTTCTTCCAAGTTTGTTTTTAAACGACAAATAAAAAAAGAACAGTTTTAAATACAAGTGGCTCCATCCTGGTGACCCTTGCCATTAACAGGACCGTGAGGTCCATGAAGCTATGTACATAACTCTTGCATGCAGCACTATAATATATAACAGAACATAAAACGAGTAGTGTACTGTGTAGTATTATCAGCAAAAATTACAGTACTATATAAACAAGGTATACCATAAAAAAAAAAAAAAGACATTGATGCTCTGTAAACAAGATGTATAGAACTGTACCAAAAAAAGACGGATGATAAGACAAGCAGCGGTCATAAGTCCGAACAGTGGGCCTAAGTCCAAATTTTCATTAAACAGATAAGTTGTTAAGTAAGGAATATGTGTAGTTCTTGTTTTTTGGTTTTGTTTTTATTTTGTGGTAGGGTCTCGCTATGTAATTCAGGCTGGCCTTGAACTCAACATTTAATACAGGCTGGCTTAAACTTGTGATCCTCCTACATGCTGGGACTGCAGGCATTTGTCACCATCCCCAGCAAACAAGGATAGTTTTGAGAATAGTGTGGTTAGGCAATTGCATCATTATGCAGACATCACAGAGTGTACTTACACAAACCTAAATGGTTGTTTGCTTGCCATGACCTCTTGATGTAATTAAGAGACAGAGTAAACTTAAGATGAAAAAGGTTGCTACCACTAATTTGCCATACTGTTGTACAGTAAATTTTAAAAATATAAATAAGAATATAATCTAAAATAACAAAAGTTATAGTAAAGACATAAACCAGTAAGACAGTCACTTATTACCATTTTCAAATACTTTATATTGTACATATTTGTGTGCTGTACTTTTATATGACTATCAATGCAGTTTGCTTATATCAGTGTAATCACAATGTAACACTTAAGCAGTGCTTTGTGTTACTGTATTAAGATGGCTATGGCTTAATGAGGTGATAGGAATTTACAGCTCCAATTTAATCTGCTGGGACCACCATTGTATATACATTTTGTCATTGACTGAAACATTATTATGTGGTGTGCAATTGTGCTTTAATTCTAGAATCTATATTTATTATACTTTATGCAATGTATTGGAAAAATATTTTGTGAAACAGCACTGTTGTCTGTGTAGAATTTGTGTATGTGTGTATTGCTTTAAAAATTTATTTCTTCCCAACTCAGCATTATTTGTATATATAGATATATGTTACTTTAAATATCATGGATTTTATACTGTCTACTGCTCCTGTATCTACCAATAAGATTTGAAAGATTGATGGTTGTACCTCAGTTCATGAAAACTTTTGATTGTGAATAATTTGGTTTGCAAACAGAAATGTTTGGTAAAATTTTGGTTTTGTTTGTGTACTGTGCATTGGGTGACAAAATATGACTGCGGCCATCTTTCTCGAATGAACATGAACTTGGCCATCTTTTCCAGAATGGTGGAATGAATTAAGTTTGTGAACCGAGGTACCATTGTATCTTATGCTTAATCTAGCTGGGCTCAATGACATTTTCTTATGATCCCAGTTACAATATTTGGGAGGCTGAGGCAAGAGTATTGCAAGTTAAATATAGTCTGGACAACTTAACCAGACCCTTTCACAAAATAAAAAGAGTTGGTGCTTGCCTAGCATGTATGAGGTTCAGGGTCAATTCCCATTACTGTCCCCTCTCCAAAAGCAAAAAAGAATCTAATCATGATATTAATTATGAGAAGGCTTTTAATGCAGCTAATCTCTTTATTTTCTGATTTTAAAAAAGCCTCTGCTATTCATCCGTTCATTACATTAATAAACATTAGTTGTCAGTATATGCCAGATACAGTGCTTATGCATTTTGAATGTAGATAGTCAATGTTATAGCTTTTATCAAGGTTCCCCTCAAAGCCTCATGAGGTCATAGGTGGGGGGTGTCAAAGGTGGCTGGTTTAGGGTGTGTGATGTTGGGATTAAGGGTGGTCCACCCTGGGTGTGGGTGGCACCACCCAAAAGGCTGGTATCCTGGATGAAATATAAAGGAACAGAAATAAACTGCTTTGCTGCTTTGTTGCCTTCTGCCTGCCCTGCTTTCATGAACTGTTTCTCCTCTCTGATGCCCCCTTTGCCATGCTACCCTGCCAGCTCCATAAACTGAAACTTGTACAAACTGTGAGCTGAGATAAACCTTTCCTCCTTTAACTTTGGGTGTTAGGTTTTTTTGTTTGAGCAATGAGAAAAGTAAAGAGAGTCAGTGAATAGCTTTAGTTGACTATATTTCTAGTCCTGTCCTCTACTATTTTCAGTTACATTAATGCGATATACTACTTATCTGTTATAATAGGATTTGAAATCTTGGTTTGTTTTTTTTTTTTTTGGTTTTTCTCCGGTACCGGGAACCGAACTTACGACCTTGCACTTGCCAGGCAGGCGCTTTTGCCGCTGAGCTAAATCCCCAGCCCCCGGATTTGAAATCTTAATGATCTCAGTTTATAACCTGATCGGAAAAAGTTCAAGGTGAAGAAACTGAATAGATGAAATGAGAGGGCGTAAACTCCATGTTACAAGATGGTTGTGAATATTGGTTAATATATTAGACTAGTTGATAGCTTAATAGCAATCTTCTTGTGTCCTTTTATGAAAAGCTTATACTAAGCTTTGAGTAAAAGCTTAAGATTAAAAAAAAAATTTGTCACTTTTTGTGTGTGATTTCCTTTTATTGCTTTTAATGTTAGCAAGTTATCTTTCCCAGCACCTGCTAAGAACACTCAATGCTGTATTGCTTTGGGAATATGAATTACTTAAGGAGAAAAATTAAACAGTGTGCATTAGTGTGCATTCTAGAGATATATCCTTAAAAAACGAGAAAGCCTCATAGTAGTTATATGAGTAATGTTCATCATAGTGATGTTTGTATAACAAAAATTTGGAAACAACCTGAATAACAATTGGGGAGCTTACATATATTGCCATAATCATATGAGAGAACATAATATTTTTAAAAACAGTAATGATTTGTAATTTTAAATAAAACAAAAGATTTAGCTAGTCATGGTGACATGTATCTGTAACCCCAGCCCTTTTAGAGGCTGAGGCAAGAAGATCACAAATTCTAGCCTACCTTGGGCAATATAGCATTCTAGTGAAACCATGTATCAAAATAAAAAAAAGGGCTAGAGAGATAAGGGGGCAGTGAGATAGCCTTGAGTTCAGTCCCCAGTAACACACACACACACACACACACTGACACTCTCTAAACACTGGGGTTGCAGCTTCAGTGAAAAGGCCCTGGGTTCAATCCCAGTAACGACCAAAAAAAAAAAAAAAATTAAAGATCTTAGGTTTGTTTAATTATGCATAAGTAATTGTAAATGATGAATAGTGGTATTGTTTAGATGGTGGGATTATGAGTTACTTACACTTCTGAATTTTCCAGATTTTCATACCATTATTTTTTATATTAAGATAAAAATAAGGGCAAAAAAAGTTATCTACCATGTCTGTCAGATAAGTTTCATATTTTTGTATTCTTTATTATACGTTAAAAAATTGTTTACTTACTGCATATTTGTCTAAGCCTGTAAATGTTAGTCTAAATTAATTTCTATTAGATTATTAAAATGTTATTAACTAGAACTTATTTTTGTATTGTATATGAATAGAGGTTATTATATTTGAAGTGCCATTTAAGGTTGAGTAATAAATATACAATACTTTACTAGTCTCTTTCTGGAGACTCTTTTATTCACTTTTGAAAAGTACCTGGGTACGTACTCATGAATATTTATTGAATGACTGTTTCATGCAATTTTAGGTATATTCTACAACTCCATATGTATATCTTAGAAAAAGTCATAATACAGGTAATCTCAGTCATGTTATCTTCAGAGCAACGCATGGTTACCTTTAAAGCTCTTTTGTTTGTTAAATTATTTAAAGTTTATGAATGAGTTTTAAGTTGCCCATTTTGCATGGTATTTACTCTTGGAGCTAAAAGAAGGAAAACTGGCTGCTGTGATATATTCTGTGTAGCTCACTGCTCATCTGATTCCCTCAGGCTCATGCTCTGTGATAGCTATAGTTTGTCTAGATTTTACTACTAGATTGTGAATTCCTAAAGAGTTTATCTTTTTATATGTAGCTGCTTAACACAGGGACCTTGCAAAGTTTGGCTCTATATAATATTTTGCAGAAAAAATGAGTTTTTCAATTTGAATAATTATAGGATTAAGCAAGATATTCCAAAAAATAAGGAAAAAGGGGTTATAAGCTGGGACAAGATTGAGGCTTATTGGGTAATACATTTTGAATTTTAGTATGCAAGAGACTTAAAAAGAATTTAAACCATGGTCTAGGGAAGTGATGGCGAACCTTTTATGGACCAAGTACCCATACTGCAACCTAAAACCCACTTATTTATCACCAGGTACCAACATTTGAATTAAACGAGAGTACTGAGGTTTTAGTTTAGTAAAACTTAATTTGATGCTTGTCTGCTGCAGTGAGTTGGCTTATGTGCTAACAGAGAGTCTGCGAGCCTTCTGGGGCATGTGTGCCGTAGGTTTGGCACCACTAGTCTAGGGCTAGGCTCCAAAGAGTCTTAACCAGAAATAGGGCAGGGTTAGGGTCCTGCAGTCTGTATTATTAGCAAGTTCCCTTGGGAGTTCTTAGGTAGGTAGTGTAAGGTTGTATGAGAAACACTGCCTTTGGCCCACTTTTTACATCTTGTGTTATTTGCACAAAAAGTGAAAGAATGAATTTTTACTACGTTTTAAAGCTGGGAGAATGCCAGATGATACCTTGTCAGGAGCTGATTAATATGTATTAGAAATTCCTTATTGTGTTCTCTTAGTAGGGCCCACGTTTCCTTCCCTGTACCTGTCTAAATGTGTTGCTACAGCTGTTAAGGAAAGGTAGACATAAGAAACTGGTTCTGTTGCTGGTAGAACATTTGTCCCTTAGTTTACAGACCTCTTAAACTGAGATAATTCTAAACATGAGTAGTTACGTAATTTGCTTATAACTTCCGAGTGACTGAATGGAGACTAGAATTCATAAGTTTTGGGTTCTAGACACATTTACCCTACTGATTGCATTTTGTTTTGAGATTCCAGATAGTTTTATCCCATTTTAATGGTAAAGTAACTGCTTTTTAATTATACAGCTATATCTATGTGAATTTTATATCTACAGTTGTTAAGACATCATTTGGCTTATTTTCTATTTAAAAAGTCTTTAAAGATACATTTTTCTAAGTAGAGGTTAATTTTTAGAGCAGTTTTGGGTTCACAACAAAGTTAGTTCTTTTGTAATTCTCTGCACGTGAGTTTTACAGTAACTTTATTTATAAAAACATCTTATATCAAATAATTTTTAAAAATCATATCCATAAAACCTAGGATTGAAAAGTTATTTTCTGAATTTAACACTAAACATATTGAAGCAGAAAGTACAGATTTCTTATATACTTCCTACTGCCAAACATGCATAGCCTCTCTCATAATCAACTTTGCCTACCAGCGTAGTACATTTATTATAGTCAGTCAACCTACACTGACCTCTCAGTAACACCCAGAATTTGTAGTTTACATTAGTATTTGTTTGGTATAGATTTGGAGAAATATATAATATGTATGTGCCATTACAGTATCACACAGAATGCTTTCACAGTCCTAAAACTTCTATGATATTTTTGGATTTTGCATATGATGCTCAGATTTCCTATGTGTGTGTTGATGGTTATCTTTGCTTAATTTGTAGATGGACTGAGTGATGAGAACAATGATGATCGAGTATTAAAATGCTGTCTTCAGTACCAGGAATTATTCGCCAATTCTTTTGTAATTCTGTGCACGTGAGTTTTACAATAATTTTACTTTATAAAAACATCTTGTATCAAATAATTTTTAAAAATCATATCCATAAAACCAAGGTGAATTCTCTTGGTTTAGCCTCTGGAGTGGTGGGATTACAGGAATGCACCACCATCCCCAGTCAGTTCTCTATTATTCATGAAGTCACTGCTTTGGGATTATCAGAAATGGCTTTTTTAGTGAAATGAAAATTGGTAGCCAACTTTACTTTTAATGCTGACATTGTCATGTTTCAGGTGATACACCTGGTTTTTCTTACTCTTTCTTCATTTTCCTTTTTGTTTTGTTTTTTCTTTAAATGGTGATAATCATGTACACTGTGTGATACCTATTATTGTTAGGATATATTTATGTAACTTATAGATGGTGTTTTGTAAGTTAATTTTAATGACAGTGATAGTGATAGGAAAAACTTTTAACACTTTATACTGTGTATCATTCTAAAATCTTTACTTATATTTATAATCCCAGGTCTGGGCCAGTAACCTCCAGTCCATTGCCCTTCTAAACTCCATACTAGTATTTTTACCTATGTATTTGATGCCCTTGTATATCTCATAGACATCTGAAACCTGTCATTTAAAAAAATGAGAGTTCTTGAGTTTTCCTTCTTTTCATGAATGAAAATTATAACTCCTTACCTATTTAATAAAGACAGAAAGTGAGTCATTTTTATATTTGCTTTTCCCTTATGATCTACATTATATCCAGTCAATAAGTCTTGTATGGTCTTTTATCTCTTCTGCCACTGAAGCCATGTTATTTTTTTCCATTTTTTACACTTAGGACTAATTGTGCTCTTTACTTCCACACTCACTCTCCTTCACTTATTTTTCAAAAACTTAAAATAATGCTTTATTTTTAAGGAACTTTTCATTTTAGAGATCTTGAATAATATTCAAAGTGAAGAAGTGCTGACAAACTCCTGAGTACCTAGCCATAGCAATTGTTAATACTCTGCCATTCTTCTGTCATCCAGAGCTCTGTTATTTCCCATCCTGCAACATGATTACTTTCACAGAATGGTTAATATTTTGAGGAAAAATATAATTACCTTAAAATGCACAAATGTTAACCACTCAGTGTTGACAGATGTATGCAGTGGCATAGCTTATATCCCTTTCAATGTAATAGAACTCATGGATTATTCCAGAAAATACTGTCATAGCCCTTGTGCTACTGCTTTGTGTTTCTTAAGCTGGAAGCTTAGAGCATTTATTTGATTATGGTTTTTTTTTTTGTTTTTTTTCTGGTGCTGGGAATCGAACTCACGAACTTGCACTTGCCAGGCTGTGCCGCTGAGCTAAAGCCCCAGCCCCTTAGACCATTTATTTGAGACTTTTGTACATTTCCCTTTAAGCACTGTTATAATTGTATTCCACAAATTTTGTGTTATATTTTTATTTTCATTCAATACAATATACCTTATAATTTTCCTTGTAACTTTCTCTTTGACCTTTAGGTTATTTGATTATTTGTGACTTTAGTTGAAATATTTGTAAAATTTTTAGATACCTTTTTTGTTGTGGTATTGAATTATAGTTTAATTCCTTAAGGACATAAGAACATAATTTATATTTGGTTTAAAAACATAATTTATATTTTTGTTCTTTTAAATTTGTTTGTCTTGTAGCCAAGATTTTAGTTATCTTCATGAGCGGTTTTATGTATCTGAACAGAATGTATATTCTACTTTTATGGGTATTCTGTAAATTTCACTATGTCCAGTTGTCGAAATGTTCTTCAGGTCTTCTATAACCTTACCATTTACCTGTCTTCTGTGGTCCCTAAGAGCGGAGTATTAACAATCTCCAACTCTTAATTGTGGATCTGTTTCTCCTTCCAGTTTGGTTTGTTTTACTTCACTCACTGTGAAAGTCACTGAGGCTGTGGCTTTTTGTTGTTATGAGCCACTGATGAATTGGAGTATTGGGGTATGAATTGGGTCCTCAGTCAAAAAGACAGAAATTTTTAGTGAAATGGGTACACATTTAGATCGTTTAGGATTGTCTTCTTAGAGACCTCACCTTTCTGTCATTATATAATCTTGTTCCTGATAAGATTTGTGTTCTATAGTATATTTTGTTTAGTATTAATAAAGTTACTTCAGCTTTCTTTTGATCAGTGTTTGTATGAGATACCGTTTTTCATTCTTTTACTTTTAACCTATGTCTTGATATTTAAAGTTAGTTTTTGTAGATAGCGTATACAATTGTCCATTGGTGTCTGTGGGACATTGGCTCCAAGACCACTTGGATATGAAAATCCCCCTGCAGATACTAAAAGCCCTTTATAGAATACGGTGTCATATTTGCATATAATCTGTGCATATCTTCCTGTATATTTGAAGTCACCTCTCATTTATTTATAATGTCTAGTACAAAGTAAATACTGTAGAAATAGTTGTTGTATTGTTTAGGGAATAATGATAAAAATGATACGTGTTCAGTATCAGTGCAGTGTTTTCTTAATATTTTTGATCCACAGTTAGTTGAATCTGCAGATGCAGAGCCTGTGCATGTAGAGGCTGATTATAATTGGTTCTTTCTTTTTTTCTCCAATCTGACAGTTTCTTTAAGTTGATGAGTTTAGAACATACACATTTAATTGAGTGAATTATTTTAGTAATTATTTTCTGTTCCATGTTTTTTTCCTTTTCTTTTGTTTGGATTGTGTATTTTTATGATACCATTTTATCTTCATTATTGACTTATTTATACCTTTCTGAAAAAACGTATGGTTGCTGAGTTTAGAATATATATCTTTACTTTGTATTAGAGTCTCCCCATCAAATAATACTAAAGTGCTTCACATTTAAGGTTCTTTCAACAGTATATATTGTCCCCCAACTCTTAGATGCTTTTTAATTTTTAAAAACCTTTTTTGTTTTCTTTTGAGTAATTTCTTTTGGCCTGTCTTTGTATTGATTCTTTCCTTGCCTTTGTCTAGTTTATTGCAAGCTATTGAAGGCATCCTTCATTTCTACTTTTTAAAATTACTGGTACTTGTGTTTTACTCTTTCTACAGTTTTTATATCTGCTAAAACTGCCTGTCTTGTTTACATGTTTATCCACTTTCTCCATTAGTGCCCTTCATGTGTTGCGCGCACACACATGCGCATGTGTGTTTGTGTGTGTGTGGGTGTGTGTGTGTGTGTATGGGTGTTGAGGGTTGAATCCAGGACCTTTATACTGAGCTATATCTCCAGCCTTAATTCTTTTGAGATGGTATCTTGCTAAATTGCCCATATTGGGACCAGACTTGTAATTTTCCTACCTTAGCCTCAAAATGTGTAATTGAGCGTAGCCTTGTACAGACTCACAAGTAAACATGAAAAACCAATTGATTAATTTAAGTCCTGCTCAGAGCTGCTTTGTAGTGGTCTCCATCATTTACTTACTGGGAGAGGATAATTTATGTTACAGTTTTTTTCTGGGTGTCAGTTACAGAGTTAAATTGTCTTTAGTTTGGAGTTCTGGGTCTTTTGACTTTGGGCGATTTGCTTTTTTTCTTCATTTATAATAAACAGTAAGAACAATACCTGCCTCAGAGAAGTAGTGTAATTTAATAATACTTGTAAAGGATTTAGTGCATAGTCAAAGAAGATTTTTTTTTCCAGTATGAAGAATTGAAGCCAGGGCCTTGCTCCTTTTTTTGAGACAGTGTCTCATTAAATTGCAGTTGCACAGGCTAGGCTCAAACTTGGAGTATTCGTCTTGCCTTAGTCTCCCAGAATGCTAGGATTAATCACACCAACCCTGTAGTCAGGTATTTTAAAGTATATTCTGATGTAGGACTTCATGTTGAAGGCTGAACTAGAACTAGTAAAATGTAAACCAATTTGAATGTGGCATAAACTTGAGAAATAATTATGTAATTATTTTTTGAGTTCAGTTGAGAATGAATATTAAATTGGCAAGACATTATCCAATGGTCCTTTCCTTTTTTTCTTTGAGGTATCTCACTATGTATTCCAGGTTGGCCTTAATTCTTTTGAGATGGTATCTTGCTAAATTGCCCATACTGGGACCAGACTTGTAGTTTTCCTACCTTAGCCTCAAAATGTGTAATTGATTTATATACTTATTACATATTTGTGTAATTAATTAATATATAGTAATGTAATTAATATATTTATATTTTATACTTATTATATATGTTTGTTTTGAAAAGGGGTTTTGTTAAATTATGAAGTTACCTAAGCTAGGCTCAAACTTGCGGTCTTCCTACCTCAGCCTCCCAGAGTGCTAAGATTATAGGGGTCTACCACCTTGTCTGATGTGGAACTTTCTTTTGTTTTGTTTTGTTTGTTTTCTGGGCAGAATCATATGCAGATGTTCGTTATTTCAATTTCCCAGCTGTTCTGGCCAGCAGTATAGATGGTTCTCTGACATTTCAAGTCATTATGCTTTCTGCTGTCATGTGCCATTGACAAATTGAGGAATGTCCTTAACAGAAAAAAAACTTGTATCTCTTTAGTGTGCTTCCTGTGCACTCCCGTCTACACTGTTCCTACATGCTCTCTAGTACCTGTAGATAGTGTGGTTCGTGTGCGTGTCTAAATTTTGTAATTCCCATTTGTGGGAAAGTGAGTCTGACCAAGTTACTTTGCCATTAACGGAGTTGAATTAATGTTTTTAACAGAGTTTAAAAAACACAAATCTAATCATGTCACTTCCCTATTGAAGTGTTTAAATGTTTTTTCATTTATTAATGTCCTTGATTTTCTCTGTAACTGCATAAACTGGTCTGACACACTACGTTCTAATCACAGTACTGTTTTCAGCAAGCAGTAACTGCACTGTGTTTGTTTTATGATCGTTCTAAGTAAATTTGTAGTTGTCTGCCCTGTGTAGGTGATTTCTCACACCACTGCTATCTGTATGTACTTCTCACATGTTGCTCATCAATTTATGTTCAAATCTAGTTCATGTCACTAGCAAGTTATTTAGTCTCTTTACATCACAGTTTGTGTCTGTGAACTGGAAATAAAATTAATACCACTTTTACCTCAGAGGTTTGGGAAACTCATTGTATGTAAATCCATTTATCATCTCTATTTCTAAAAAATTATTATCTTTTGTTTATATATATGCTGAGACTCACCAGCCTTTGACCAGATCCCATGTATTTTGAATTGCCATGTAGCTTGTCTTTTAAAAATATTTTTTCCTTCTAACCCCAACTTAGGGATGATAGAAATTTAAGAAGCAAAGGCCTTATAAGTGGTGTAAAATCACTCAGTAAAGAAGAATTGAGTGCAGAGTTATTAACCTTATCTCTGAACACAGATGTGTGTCATCAGCCTTGTATTTCTAAGCAACAGTTGAAAGCAGGTAGTACTTTTACTCTGAATAACTAGAAATATATTTTATTTTAGGCACTAAGATCATTGATAACTTTTGTAATTAATACTGGCATGTAAATAGAAGTAAAATTAATGATAATATAAAAGGAAACAAAGGTAACATTATTGCCTTCTATATGTATTTGTACAGATCAATTTGATTTTTATCTGTATGCTCACATGCAGTTTTCTATATTTATAATCATTGGGTGCATGCTGATTTGTACCTTGCAAAGCATGCCTTTCAAGTAAATAGTGGCTATAGGAAGTACTCATTTGATGTAATTTTTAGTTTCTTTTTGAAATTACCTTTAAATTCATAACCTTTTCATATAATAAAAACTCACCTAGTAATAATTGAGAAACTTTCAGGACTCAAGTAAGAATTAACTTAAATTTTAAACTAATAAGAAAGGTAAAGCCACTAGTGTTGTCTTACCTCTTTTTAAAAAGAATAATGTGTTCTGTTTGATATTTGGTAGAAAATTGAAATAAGTGATATCATTTATAAACACATTCCACCTTTTACCTGTGGAGAAAGTAATTATTAATGTCTCTAATACTGGATATACTTTTTATCTATAATTTGTATAAATGTATATATACACATATATAATATCATATATACAGATATATAAATGTTTATATATATAATACATATATAATATACTTGTTTATTTTCAGAGTAACACATCTTTTTGTCATGATACTAATAGTAGCACATGGGAAGATTAGCAGAATATTCTAGTTGATGGCTTTTCAGGGGTAGTGTCCTTGTAGTTTACTCACTGTATTACTGCTTTTAAAATCCTCACTTTATAATTGTTGAGATAAACCACTTGATATTATGAATTTTGCCATAAGAAATTTACAGTTTTCAAATATCAAAAAAATGGTTATCAATTAAATTAACAAAAGCCTGTTTTAAAGGGGTAGAACATGAATATGGGTAAGCCATAAAATTTGGTGCTTTCAAAACAGTTTATTGATGAGGACTAAGTTTAGAAATATGTATTAATTCTGGAACAAAACCTATTTTGGAGCATAGTTTCTGGTTTCCTGTTAGAAAAAAATCTACCAAATTTGGGCAATTCTTCTTTGTTTGGAAATAATAAAATTAAATTGTAGTTAAAATATCGCATACTTTTTCTACATTTTTATTTCAATGAAAATGTTTAGTTCCCTTTTTTGTCAAAAAGATAAAGCATGGCTAAAGTAATATGTTCATGTTGCATTTTAAGCAACTAATAGAGATATGTTTCTAAATAATGTTTTAAAAATAAACCTTTTTTTGTTTTAAAATGCTAGTTATATATATGTATGTCTATTTTTTTTGACCATATACTAACTATATGTAAAATACTACTAGTGCCCTAACTAAACCTGTAACTGTTTGTTTTAAAGAAGCAAAGCCTGAAGAGACCTCCGAGGAAAAATCTACAGACTCTGGATTGTCCATTGTACTTGAACACATTATATCTGATCTTGAAAGATCTCTTGGAACAGCTTTATCTTCTATATTAGAAACAGAAATGAAAATTGCTTTTGGGAACCTTTGGATGGAGGTGATTGGTTCAGTTCTATTAGTTGAAAATTTCTCTTACTGGGGCTGAGGATTTAGCTCAGCGGCACAGCGCCTGCCTGGCAAGAGCAATGTCGTGAGTTCGATTCCTGGTACCGGGGGAAAAAAAAAAAAAAAGAAAATGAAAATTTCTCCTACTAAAGATTCGTTATCTTAAGAGATACTTGTATAAAACAAGTAAGGTTTATTATAAATAATATATATGACATTAAATTTTATTTCCTAGTTCTTAACTGACAATTAAGTGATAGACATGTTTTAAAGTATAGAATTACATATTACTGTCGATTCTTTCAGGCAACAGATATTTATGATTACACTCTGATGTGTGTCAAACAACTCCGTCCCATAAGTTCAAATTAAATCCAGAAAAACTTTGCTCATTTAGTGTGATTAGAATAAAAATATTTGATATAAAGAAGTACCCTAAACAATATGTATTCAGAAAAAGAAATGTGTATTTTGTCTCATGTCATACAAATATGAGAATCAGAGTATACATTGATTATATTAATAATATAGTTTGAATTTTCTTTAGTATCTTTTTTTCATTTCAGTAAAACACCAAGTTCAGCAATAGTGACCTTAAAAGTTCCATTTAATGTTTGTTTGATTTCACATTTAGAGCTAACAAGCATTACAGTCCATCAGTTGTAGCTTATATCTCTATCATAGCTATTGAGTGAGATTCTTAATATTTGCCAGTATTATATGTTTACTTAATTATATTATCTAGTATTGAATCAGAACACTGAAGATTGGTCAGAAGATTCTTGGAGTGTTGATTTAAATTGGACATTTCATAGTAGAAATATGGATGATTCATAAAAAGATGTTAGCAAGTGGCAGTTAGTTCCATTTGACATCTTTTTTTCTTTTAGTAGATTTTTTCCTCCAGGTATGTGAAATAATGATTGATTTCCTCATAGCTGTCCTTGAAACTACCTTGGACTGTAATACATTTATTACAGTGCTATACTGAAAAATATATTGAGGAACTTTTGCTTATTAAAACTACTTCCTGTCTTATTAGAACTCTGCTTTCTTTTTGTACTTAAAGATTCTGAAACTATAAAGATTAATAATACGAATTTTACAAAAACATTTTGTAAGGAGGTTAGTATTTAAGGTTATGATTAGCATCTTTTACTTAAAAAGAATTGAGCTAACTACAGTATATTTTATCCAGAAATATATGGAGGAGTTTCTAAATAGGTATGTTTAAATAATAGGAATAATAAATCCAAGATGCTAATGTTTAAAAAATATTCTTTAGATGCTGTACTTGAAACCACCATGGACTCTAATACATTTGTTACAGTGTTTTAAAAAACATTGGTTGGCTGTATTTGGATTAGTTATGGAAAAGAACTTACTTTTAACTGTTGAGAGCCTATATGAAAATCTTTGTAAAGGTATGCATCTTTTGTTTATTTTTCTTTAGCAGTGTGGTGTTAAAGTGTTAAGTTGAACCAGCAGGTATATTCCATGAGATATGATGATGAATTAATGAAAAATTTGTCAGTTAGTTCTTACTGATTTATACTTCTAATTTCTAAAGTGTGTTTGTAGCACTTGGATAAATGGATATACGTCTTAGAGATTATGACTATATATACTTTTATTGTTAATATCCTTAGATATTGTGAATTTGTAATTTTTACAAGATGGGGAAGTAGAAGCGTTTCTTGGCCAGAGTCTTTAACAATACAGATGTAGAAGACAGATTGAGACCACAAGGAGACTGGCTGTTGACTGCAAGGCACTGTTGCCTGCCTTGGTGGTGGCATTAGTTGGATTTGGGATGGTAGAAGTATTCTGGGAGGTATTACTTGAAGGTGGCGCAGCAGCAGCGGTTTAGTGTGAGTAAATTACATGGGTAGGAGCAGTGCTAGGAGCAGCAGCCCCAACCGCAGCCCCAGCCTCAGCCCCAGCCTGGCCACCATCGCTCTGCCTATGTCCTCTCTATTAGCACGAAGGCACCGCTCGCTGGAGTCTGAGCGCATGGAGCTCAGTTGGTTCTGGCAGGCACAAGCAAGGTGAATTCGTAATTTTTTTTTTTTTGTCTTTTTGAGACAGGGTCTCACTATGCAGTTCAGGCTGGCCTTGAGCTCACTTTGTAGTCCAGGCTGGTCTCAAACTTGCAGCGATCCTCCAGCCTCAGCCTCCTGAGTGCTGGGATTATAGGCGTGCCACCACGCCCGGCCTGTAATTTTTAATGACTTTTACTTTGAAAACTTTTACATTATACTTAGGTATGTAAGTAAAATTAATAAAAAAAATTTTTTTTTTCATTTCTCACTGTGTTTAACACAAACTTTTAAGTATATTTTGTGTACTAAGTATATCAGACTTTCTGTCTGAACTTACGGGTAAGGGATACGAAACTTACAGCTTTGGTGCATAGTAAATTTTAGAAATGGAAGAGACTACCATCACAGAGTTGGTGGATTTAAACTGTATTGCCCAGAATGTGTGGTTCTTTAAATGCTGCTGCTGCCGCACATACAAGGTAGAGATTTGTAAGGGGAGCCTGAAAGGTGGTGCCTTTATCCCTCGTCCCCAGTCTTAGCTGGGACAACATTTTTTTTCCCTCTTTGTTTATCTCCATGTAGAAATTGGAAAGTTTTTTTGCTAAAAAGAAAAAGTAAAAGGCACTAATTTAATGTTATTAAAGCTCATGTTTTTTGATCAAGGAAATTAGTCCTGAGATGACAAGTAACATCTAAGTCTAATTTATCTTAGCCATATTTGTCTGCCACTAAAGGTTCACTTCTTGATGTTTTTCATACTCTTCACATGAAGTGATTTACTTTGTTTATTGTTTTATATTAGATATATTCAGTCTACCTCTAAAAAATAACTGATGGCTTAAATAAGAGGACCATTAAAATATGTTTAAAACCAAGTAATAAAGAATTAAGAGAGATTTGTCAGATTTACTAAAAAACATGCCCAATTATTATTATAACACATGAGTACAGATTAAGAAAAAAGCCTTATTCTCTATTTTCCCCAAAGTATAAATGCTTTGAAAATATCTTAGCTTTAAAATTTTTCCTAGGAGATTTAAAGCACATAGTTTTTTAAAAGTCGTATCCCTGGTAGATGTTGGGTGAGTATTTACTTTTAGAAGACGTTACCAATTTTTAAAAGAAAGACACATTTGTGTCTTTTTTCTCTAACAATAAAAGTTAAGTTTTCGGAGTATTAACGTGTAAGAGATGTGGAACAACCATTTGGGCATATCTCCAAAGCAGCCTTTACTAAACATGTGGAATCATTTTTTGTATTTTTATTAGAGATATAATTTAATCTTTATAAGAAGTCCATACACTGTGTGTGCTCTTAAACAGGTTAGTTTAAAAAATGAAACCAATTGCCATCTTCTATTTGTTTGTTTTTCTGTTGGTAGACAGTGATCTGCTCTTACATGCAGCTGAGAGGTGATAGGTGGCAGCTCTTCCTGACAGTAGTGAGAGAAGTAAAGATGTTGTGACTATACCTAGTGCTAAAAAGTTACTTTTGTAGTTATTGTGTGCATAGTCTATTGGTCCTCGATTTAAAAGTATCTAGTGACTTGGGAAAAACATATAAAGTGATTCTAAAAGCACCTCCTGCTTTGTTATTTATTTCTTTCTTTTAGTAGTGGGGATTGAACCTAGGGCCTTGTGTATGCTAGTCTAGTGCTGTATCGTTGAGCCATATTCCAAATCCTATTTACGGTTTGAGATAAGGTCCTGCTAAATTACCCTGGTTGGCCTTGAACTTGTGATCTTTCTGCCTCAGTCCCCTTGAATAGCTAGGCTTATCAGAATATGCTACTGTGCCCAGTTTAACATACTTTTGAATTGGAAAAATTACAAGTCAGTTCATAGAAAATTGTGTGGAAAATGACCAGTAACTTCTTATGACTTTGTTATCCATACTAACTTTATTCTAAACAATTATTTGATTTATAAATTTCTCTGTCTCTTCTCTCTCTGCCCCCTTTTTTTTGGCAAGGTCTCATTTAGTTGTCCAGACAAGCCTTGAACCTATGGTCCTCTTCTGGAGGACACTTCTGTTAAGTGCTTACCAAATGCTTCAGTCTCTTTGTCTCTCTGTCTGTCTGTCTCCCCTCCTCTCCCTTCCCTTCCCTCCTCTTCTCTTTTTCTTTTTGGTACCAGGAATCAAACTCAGGACCTTGCACTTGCCAGGCAGGTGCTTATGCCACTGAGCTATATCCCTAGCCCCTCCTTCTCTTCTTTTTGTGGTACTGGGAATTGAAATCAGGACCTTCACATTGAGTTATATCCGTTGCCCTTTTAAAAATTTTTCAAGACAGGGTCTCCCTAAATTGCCTGGGGTAGGCTCAAATTTGGGATCACTTGCCTTGGCCTCCAAAAGTGTTGGGATCACTGGTATATGCTACATCCCTAGGTAGGATCCTCCCAGGCCCTTGACTGAAGCAAAGTCTCAGCTTCCAGGCTGGCCTTGAACTCACAGTAATCCTCTAGCTTCAGCCTTCACAGTGCTGGGATTACAGGCATGCACCACCATGCCTGGCTGGGTGTCTTTTTTTTGTCAGTGTCATTGTCCTGACTTTATGATTATTATTTTCCTTTTGCCCATAATCTTGCTAAGAAATTTTGTAAGACAGAAGTCAATGATTGATTCAAGGATATAAGCGCAACTAAACAGACTAAATAGGAGATAATATCCTTAAAAGAAGTTGTGCTCAATTATGTCTTCCTCAAAAGATTTATGAACTTTATCACACCTACAGTCTGTCCCATGTATAGCATCTCTCATCTCTCTCCTAACTAATGCCAAATCAGTTGTTGGCATTAAAAGGAAATAAAAGTGTTCCTGTAAGGAAATATACTGGGTTTCAGGGGGGATGAGAGGTAAAAGATAGAGGCGTGGCTATGAATAATGTCCCATTAGTTTCTGAATATTGGGGACTAATTATGAAAATGTAATTTCAAAATTTCATTTAAACCTTCCGAATTTCACAAGCAAGTTCTGCTTGTGTAAGTGACATACAGGAATGCTTTACTTTTTAACTCATAGTACCAATGAAAAGTCACGTTCATATTTAAGAATATAATTGCTTCTGACACTGAGAACGTTAAAATCGAAGAAAAGCAAACCCATTGTAGTGTGGTTATGTTGCCTTTGAAAACTATTATGTAGCCTTATCCCTTCAAATGGGAATTTTTTTTTTCTATTTTGCGGTTTGTGGCATTAGAAATTAAATTGTTCATAATCTTTAAAATCTCTGAGACTGTTTTTACCACTTTTCCTAGCTAGTTTGAACATTTAATGCAGGCATTTTTTAGCTTCTTGAGGAAAAATTATTATACTTTCAAGATGTTATTTGTAAATTATGTCACTTTAGTTTACAGGAAAAAATATTCTGCTAACTTCTTTTGCTTCTCATTGCTCCCCAAAGTCTTAGATAACGTATCATTTTCAACAAATATAATAAATTTCATGTAATGGAATTGAAGGTAAAGCACTACATGTAACTGACTTGATTATGACAGACTAGAAACTTGCATGCTTGCCACTAAAATGTGACTCTTCTGGTGTCTGTATAGTAATCTGAGTGTGAAACTGCCTCAGACCAGGTGTGGTGGCACATGCCGATAATCCCAGCAGACAGGAGGCTGAGGCAAGAGGATTGCCAGGGTTTGAGGACAGCTTGGATTATAGTGAGTTCAAGGCCAGCCTGGCAGCCTAAATTACACAGTGAAACTGTCTCAAAAAAAAACAAAACAACAACCAAGAGTGAGCCTCAGTTGTGCTTTAATTTATGATTATCTCTTTTTTCTTAAGAGTGTGATATTCTCTCATTGTACTTTGAAGTTGTTTGTGTTGAGGGAACTCCTGATATAGATACCAGTGTTACACTCACAGGACTTTGTCAATTACTAAGTCTCTTTCTTTGTTGCTTTTATACCAGAGAGATAAATTAGTAGTGGTATGTAGGTGTAAGTATATACTCTTCTTAAATTTAAAGATTGTATTAGTGTTCCAGTGTCATTTTTGTGTTTTATACTCATTCTTACATATTTTTCATTCTTAATTTTTTTCTTACCAGCTAATAATGCAGTAGACTTTACAACAGTGAAATTCTTGCTTCAAGATTCTAAAAGCTTGTTACATGCTTTCAGTGTAAGATCAAATTATGATGGTATTCTTCCACAGGCCTTTGCTCAAGTAAGCAGACTACTACAGACATTTGCAGAGGTAAGGTGTCTTTGGAATGCCATACAGAGCAGCCAGTCATATACATTCTAAAAATATATTTATGTAGCAGACAATGGTAGATAAAGGATAACTTGTCTAATTTATTCTAAATACTAAAAGCATTAATTAGTTAATTGAAGTGAGTATAATTCTTATAAAGAGTTATGAAACACATATACCTTTATGGAAGCAGTGTCACAAGAGTTACTGAGAATTTGTATTACTTCATTTATGCGTAGAAGGAAGTTACACATTACTGTTCAACTATTCATCTGTAGTATTTTATGCCAGTCAGTCTCATATGCATCAAAATCCAGTAGGAGATGTTTTTGAACATGTAGATACTAAGGATCTCTCAAACTTTTTGGCAATGGTATGCAGTGATGTTCTTTGATTTTTTTGTTGGTTTGTAAATACTTCAAGATTAAGAAAAAGTGTGTAAGTGTAGTTCAGAGAATTCCCATGTACAGTATATGCTTTACCTTGATTACCCCAAATGTTAACATTTTGTATATTTGCTTTATTGTTTTCCCTATCAGTTTATCTGCTCGTCTGTGTGTCTTATCTGTTCACATATTTTCTGAGCTATTTGAGAAGATGTTGGAGGGCTGATACCTCTTTACCTATAAATATTTCCACATAGATTTCCTTAGAAAGGATATGTTACATAACTACAGGTATCTTAATTTTTAGACCTCATTCAGAGTTCACAAATTCGTCTGTGAATTTTTTGAAGATCTCCTCACGGGATTCCTAAGCAGCCACCCACAGCCACCCTAATACTGATACCTTTTAAACTTAATTATATAGGTTTTAGTTATATTGTAGTTTTTCTATAATCTAATTTCAAATCTAGAAAGTTCAGGGAGTTTTATGTGCCAGAAACAATTCAGTATCATAACTACTAGAGAAGATGGAATGGAATTTTTATTTAATATAGATACCATATTCTCTTCTTTGAGGAACTGAACTGAACAGATTTTTCTTAGGATTTTTCATAGTGATACTGTGAATTAATCAAAGGATTAGATGATATTAATCTTGTCATAGTTGTAGAGTAACATTCTTCCTTGCTAAGAGAGTATCTCATGCAGTAAAATGTGATTATTCTTGAGGAAATAAGTGATTTAAGTGTGGAACAATTTTGTTTTGAAAGCAGGGCCTTCGCACAGCGCTACATCCCAAGCCCCCCTAACCCCTATTGGAGACAGGATGTCAAATCTCACTACCTGGCTAAATTGCCCAGACTGGCTTGAATTTATAATCCTGTCTCAGCTTCTCAGGGTTCTGGGATTACAGGTGTGTGCCCCCCTGCCTGACTGATCCTTTGGTTTTTATAATAGAAACATTGATAATCTGATTTTCTTATGGAAAGTACAACTTCTAGAACTATTAGTAGGAAAGAACGGAGCTGGAAGTTTAAGGGCTCACTATTGGGTTGTTGTATTTGGATTTTATTGAAGTAGACATTTCATCCTTTCCTGTCACAGAGTTGAGTCCTAATTTATATCTTCAGTGAAACAAAGTGAACAAGATAGAAAATGCAAGATACGTATAAGCTTAACTGTCTTTGTGTATATTAAAATTATTGAGAGTAAAATAAAATTTAAGATTGATGGAGATAAAAATAACTATCAAGTTTTAAACTCTGTTCATCCATTACAAACGTGGAGCTGAGAGATACCATGAAAATTAATACTAAAATTTAGTGTTGCTTATTAGATTATATACCTACCATATATATCTTGCTTACTATGTATTTAAAACTATTGAATTGTTGTTCCACGTGACTTTTTTTTTCTTTTTTTTGGTACTGGGAATTGAACTCCGGACCTTGTGCAGGTGCTTGTGCTGTTGAGCTATATCCCCGGCCCCCTTGAATTGTTGTTTAATTAATTATTTTTTCCTGGATTCTGAATTTTCAGTTACTCTGTTAGGAAGAGATTGATAATGGTGAGTGGCAAAACATGTAGCATCCTCATTAGTTCTTTTCCCTTGACACTTGGTACTTGTGTTAGTGTTTGAAACATCCTGTGTTGTTTCGTTGTCGAAGTCAATCAGAAACACTGTGATTTAGCTTGGTCCTTTAAAATACTTCTCTTTTTTCTTTCTCTCTCTCTTCTTCTTCCTCTTCTTCTTCCTCCCCTTCCCCTCTGCCACCCTCCCCCTTCTTCTCTTTTTCTTTCTTTCTTTTGCAGTACTGGGAATTGAACCTAGGGCATTCACACTGAGTTACATCACAGGTACTTACTGTTTCTATTTTTCATTTTAAAATAGGTTCTCCATAAGGCAATAAGTGGTCCAGACTGGGCTTGAAGCTGTAATCCTCCTGGCTCAGCCTCCCAGAGTGCTGCGATTATACTTTTAATAGGAGTTGTTTTATGGAATGCATTTGATTTGATAAATGTCTTATTTAGTCATGTTTTCTAACTTGAGCAACTTCCAAAGATAGGATATCTGAGTATAGTAATTGTAAAAATATGTATCTAGTTGTGTGTATGTGTGTGTGTGTGTGTCTGTGTGTGTGTTTGTCTAGGGGTAGTAGAGATTGAACTTGGGGAGCACTGAGGTATACCCCCAGACCCTTTTTATTGTATTTTGAGATAAGTTCTCAGTAAGTTGCCCAAGCTGGGCTCAAACTTGAGATCTTCTTGCCTTACCTGCCTCATAGCTGGCATTACAGGATTGTGCTACCATACATACATGATTTAAATATTTGTTTGTATTTTATTTTCAGTTCTGAGGCTCAAATCCAGGCCCTGTGCATGCTAGAAAGCTGTGTTTCACTAGCCCCCAAAATTCACTTAATCTCAAGTATCGAATATTAGGGAAAGAGGAGTATTCATTATTTATTTGCTTCTAAAGGTCTTCTGAAAAACTAAAACAGGAAACTAACATTATCATTTCCACACCTTTGCATTGTGTAAGTTGGGGAAGAAAGGGATGTGTACATTATTATTTTACAAAAATGACTTATCAAATGAAAAAATAAGTAAGACCTAATAAAAAATACTTGCCCTACTAAGATGCTAAAATAATTAAAATCAGTTCAGATAAGCTTTATACTTACATGGATCCTGACTTACATTTTTAACCTCTGATTTTGTAAATTCTCTGAACCCTTATTTTCTCTTTTGTAAAATGAGATTAATAATAATCTGTGCTTCAGAATTGTCATGAAGTTTAATAAATTAAAATTTGTAAAGACCTAGTAGATAATAAGAGCTCTGTAAATGTTTGGTTAAAAATTCAGTTACATATTTTATATAGTATTACCAAAGAAAAGAAGCACTGGATAAATGCTGCTTTTATTTTAGATGTATATGGAGATTTTAAAACAAGTTGTCTGGGTTAGGGTGTAGCTCATTGGTAGCACTTACCAGCATATGTAAAGAGCTGTGTTTGATCCCCAACACTGCATAAAAATAAAATTATCTCAGGACAAAAATAAATGTCTTTCCATGCATTTATATTTAGAAAATTCATAAGTTTATATAAAAAGGCAAAAATAGGAAGGATCTCCCCGTTCTTTGCCCCAGAAAATGAGAAGGGTAATAAGTACTTTTACAGTTAGAGAGAGATGTATAGATTGCCAAGGATCAAGTCCTTTTCATGCCTCTGACCTTCTGAGGGACCTTGGATGAGTTACTTATTTAACCTTTATGTGTTTTAGTTTCCTTCATTATAAAATACGGGTAGTTATAGTATGTTTCATAGGGTACTCATGAGATTAAGTGAGCTAATAAACACCTGACAGGGCTCCTGTATATGACAAATTCTTGTAAGTATTAGCTTATACTACCCATGGCATTAGAAATTTTATTTTTTAAATTTAATAAGCATAAAGTTTATGAAAAAATTAACCTATGAAGTTAACCTTTAAAATCATCCTTTCATCCTTTATATTATATTTCCTCATGTTTATTTGTTTATTATTTTTTTGAGACAGGGTCTTGCTATGTAGTCCAGGCTGGCTGTGAACTCACTATGTAGCCCAGGCTGGCCTTGAACTTGTGGCGATCTTCCTGCCTCAACCTCCCGAGTGCTGGGATTATAGGCATGTGCCACCATGCCCAGCAGCATGTAAATTTAACCGTAGTTAAATGGATCAATTTTGTTAAAGTTCATGAAGTATGTTACCAATAGAGCCAAGACCAAAATCCAAATTTTTAAAATCATAATTAAAATGTTTTCCATTCTATCAGTATTTTTCACCTGTTTGTATTTTACTGAGTGATATTTTAAAAAGTAATCAATTTGAGTCAATACTATATCTCTTTTTGAGATATAGTATCTTTTTGAGTCAATACTATATCTCAATACTATATCCCTTGAGTCAATACTACATCTCTTTTTGTTCTGCCATAAAATAGCTTAGCTTTCTTCTAATTTTTTTTTTTTGTTTTATTTTGTTTTGTTTTGAGACAGGATCTTGCTATATATTCCTGGCTGGCCTTGAACTCCCAGTATAGCCCAGGCTGGCCTCACATTTGGAGTGATCCTCCTGCTTTGCCCTCCTGAGTGCTGAGATTATAAGTGTGTGCCGCCACACCTGGCCTCTTCTACTCTTAAATACTTTCTGTGGGCCATTCTACTTACTGTACCATTTTATTTCCTCAAACCTATGTTTCTTAGCTCCTGTTGCTATTATACAGTTCTCATTATTTTCTGTTTTATTTTCCTCCTATTTAGTTCACACCTTTCCCCTTTCATTTTTCTCTATTCATTACCTTCTGCTTTTTTTATGCTGTATTCTTTCTTCACAACTCCATGTAATAAGAGTTGTTTTCATGTGGATGAGTTTCAAGTCTCAGATTTGCACATACAATCCATGCTAGATATCTTTACTTAGATAACTTTTGTGTTTTTTGTTTGTTTTTTCGAGATAGGATCTTACTGTGTAGTTCAGGGTGGCCTTGAACTCACTCTTGTAGCCCACCATGGCCTTGAATTCGGGTCAGTTTTCCTGCCTCAGTCTCTTAGTGCTTGGATTATAGGCATGTACCACCACGCTGACGTGTAGGTTAAAAAAAACCTTAGGTCTCCCTCATTCTCTGAATCTATAATTTTTGGCCAAATCTTTAAAAATATTTCTTGTATATACCCCCCCCCATTCTACTTCTTTTGATGCATAATTCAAATTTTCAGGATTTGCTTTGTGTATTCAGTACTTTCCTAACCAGTCTTTTTTGCTTACATTCTTCTGTTCCATGTGTCCTCAGTGTGGTTCAGAGTGTATCACTACCTGAATTAAAACTCTTCAGTGGTGGTTCACTGTTGCTCATAACATAAGGTTTCGATTGTGTCTTCACTTTCTTTACGTCCACTTTCAGCCCTTCACACTTATCTTGATTTTAAGGTGCTTAGAGCTTGACTCTAGCTTTGTGTCCTCTTTGTAGTTCAGTACCAGAGGTGTAAAAATTTTCATACAGTACTCTTAGACTATAATATTAGCCAAAAAAGTTCCTGTGATAAATAAATTGGAAGTAATTTGCTTTAAATAGAACAGAAAATATCTTTTATAGTTTTTATGCTTTTCTGGGAATATTCAATGCATAATAAAAGGAAAAGAATAGCCAGCACTTTGCAGAAAGTGCATACTTTTGTAAGCATAGTTCTGTTTTTCTCACTTACTAGTGAAAGAATAGCTGCATTTTTCTGTTAATTCTTAATTTCCCTAGGTCAAGGCAAAACTTAAGCCAAATTCTTCGGAAAACGCAATGAGTAAAACGCAGGAAGACACTCCTGTGGTGAAGCCTCATAACCAAGAAATCACTGTTTCCTCCACCTCTCATCTTCCTCAACCCAGCAGGCATCAAGAAATCTGGTCTGTCCTAGAGAATGTTTGGATTACAATATATCAGAACAGGTACTAAATTTCCAGCTAATCTTTAACTCTAGAGTGAAAGCCTGCGTTTTTGGGGGGCGGGTACTAGGAATCAAACTTAGGACCTCACGCTTGCCGGGCAGGTGCTGTGCCACTGAGCTAAATCCCCAGTCAAAGCTTGCTTTTCTTCAGAGTTTCTGTTACTATTCATTAAACAGTTAATTTTTGAGTTTTGAGTTTAATGCACAGATTGTCTTAAGGGACTTTTGTCAAATTAGTACTTTGGAAACAGTTACGCTTAAATAGGTGGACACATCAGAGTTATGTGGAAAATTTTAAAAATATATGCATAAACTCTCTCATTAGAAGTTCCAATTCAGTAAGAAAGAGGTTAAGAGAACAGTGAATTTAAACAAACAGACAGCCTCTCCAAGTTTTTGATTCAGATGTGAAAGCTTGTTGAGAGGCATTACCTCTGTATATGTCAAAACCACTGAAAAATCACCTGGATTAGCTAAACAGTTTAGGGTACAAGGCCTTGATAAAATTAAAAATAAAAGTTTATGTAAGTTTTTTAAAGGCAGATAAACACTTTTGTTTCAAAGGAAAAATTATTTTCTGTTACTTTAGTCACATAAACATAAAATGTAATGGTCTTGGTAAAATGATAGGGCTTATTTGTATTTTTTTTTAAATGAGCTGCTGTTAGACCAGCTGAAAAAAAAAATTGGGAACCACTGATTAAATTTAAAGTAGATAAAAACTCCCTCCTGTTCTTTCCACTAAGCCCATAATCTTTACATATAATTAAGTTACAAAGCCAGTGGCATATAGTTTGATTTTTGTTTCATGAGCTCTTTGCGACTGTTGTTTGGGATTGAGGTAGTCTGTTTGTTCTAGATGTTCACAAAAACAGCAGCAGAGCCCTTCACTTACATACCTGTTCTCAGTTGGCTCTTACAACATTGTAGATTTGTGGTTCATTTTAGGCTTGGGCTATGATTAAATTTTTTTTTCCAACAAATAACTTATATGAGCTAGCTTTATATCCTATCATACTAAAGAAATAACTGTATCTGGCAAATCATCTAAGGAGGATAATATTTAAAAATTACATTTATGTTCAAAACAATTGTTTCATTGCTTTTTTTCCAGTTTTTTTTTTTTTTTTTTGGTTTTTCTCCGGTACTGGGAACCGAACTCACGACCTTGTGCTTGCCAGGCAGGCGCTTTGCCGCTGAGCTAAATCCCCAGCCCCTTTTTTTTTTCCAGTTTTAATATATTTTTTCAAATTTTAATTAATCAAGACATTGTGGCTAGCAGAAAGTTACTAGATATATACGGTAGGTCAGAGAATACTACTTTTAGAATAAAGTATATTAAAACCATAGGTAAGATACTTTAATTTTTCTTTGGTTTAGAAAGCATTTGAGTATTGGACACCAGAGAATACTGTGTTTCTGGCTGATAGACTACATAATGGCATTTCAGCGAGTGGAAAATGTTCTTGTTGCCCTATCTATACATATTTACTTGAGACTACATTTTTTCTCAAACCTGATTGATACAAAGGTCTAGTAGGGTCTGTGCGTGGTTATTCACTGCTAGTGTGCTTGTACGTGACTGTAAATGCCATCTTCTTGTTCCTGGTTTAATAATCATTTGTGAACTTACAGCACATCAGGTTAGGTTTTCTATTTATAAGGAATTTGGATAAGTTCTACATACTATTACTGATTTAAGTTTTAAAAAACCTTTCCTGCTGTTTTTCAGGCAAGCTTCTGAGACTTTGTAAAAATGTGTATCTTTGAGTTTCAGTGTGAACTATAATTAAAATATTGTATTATATTTTTTTCATTACTTTTTTTGTAACTTAGAACTTTATTAATACTGTGAAGGTAAAAGCAATTTTTGAACTTTATTTTTCTGTTTGTTTTTTATACTGAGAATTTAACATAGTGCCTCACATTTTCTAAGAACACACTCTACCACTAAGCTACAAGCTTTGGTCCCCAAAAGGATAGTTTTTGAAAGTTTTTTGACTGATGCTGTCCTATAAGCTGACTGTTCAATAATCAATAATACATCTGATCTGTAATTTAATGTCTGACAATAGATTGCAGCTGTAACTGATTTGAAATGTTTATTTTCAAAACCTCTTCATTATTTTTAATGACTGATTCGATATTAATGTGACATGTATTTTTTTGTATGTGTAAAAATTGTTTGAACAAAAAATTTTGCATTTGTAAAGCCAGGCTGTTTTAAATTTATAATCCTTCTATCTTACCCTCCTGAGTGCTGAGATTACAGGAATGTGCCACCATGCCTAGCTGACCTAAATCCTTTTTCAGAAATAAGCTTTTTACAAATGTACTTTATGCTTTGTATTTTAATATTCTCTAATATAGTATATACTATTTTATGCACTAAAATATGTTTTCCTTTAGTAAGGTAAAAACATATATTAACCAATCTATTTCTACAGATTTCCCATGTTTCCTTTTTGTAGAGGTGTGCTTGGTTTCGTTGCTTATTATTATTTTGTTCTTGTATATTAGATCTTACAGCATACTCAGGGCCTACTTTTAATACCTGAGTCGGCTTTTACTAGTTTATTCTCTGTCAGCACAGCAGGAGTTATGGACATGAACATGTAACATTAAGGCTGCTGTTTTGGAGGATTTTGGTGGTGGTATGGAAAGTATTTTTCAGTTTGTACAAGACTGATACCTGGCAATTTGTTTTGTTATTGTTTAGCTCTAATAGTAGGAGAAATGTGAAATGAAAAAGCCCAAGTATCACATTGTAGGGCCCTTTTATTACTAATCGATATAGCCAGCTTTGTTTCTAGGCATATGTGTTAGTTTCCTAGGGCTGCTATAATAAATCACTGCAAACTAGATGATTTTTAAACAGCATGTACTTATCTGCTCACAGCTCTGAGGGCAAAGATTGGAAATCCAAGTGTCTGCAGGGTTGTTTCTCTCTGGAAGTTCTGAAGAAGAATCTGTTCCATGCCATTTTCCTATCGGCTAGTGGTTGTGAGCAATCCTTGTATCACTCCAGTCTCTGTCTTTACAGTTTGTGGGAACCACTCTAATCCAGCCCTCATTTAAAATTAACTAATTACATTTTCAAAGACCCTATTTCAAATAAAGGGCCGGGGATATAGCTCAGTGGCACAAGCACCTGCCTGGCCAGTGCAAGGTCCCGAGTTTGATTCCTGGTACCAAAAAATCAAGATCAAATAAAGTTACATTCTGAAGTTCTCAGTGAACATGAATTTTGGGAAGATAACATTGATACTATAGCATGTTTGGCTTTCAATTTTGTGGCTAAAATAAGAAAACCTTTTTCTATTTTTTACATGGTATAAGAGTGATTTTAATAGTTTGGTATTTTACCAGATGACTAATTCACTGTTTACTTAATACTTGTATGCTGTTGCATATTTGGAATGTTAGTAATTGTTGACTAGTTGTGAATAATTATTAATTTATGATAGATTTCTGAAAGTGGAATTACTAGGGTAAGCTTCCAGTTTTAATTGACAGTCTCATATCTTGTTTTCTTCATTCTTATATTGTCGGAGACTGAATTGGATGTAGATTGATAATATTACTGCCCTTCTGTCTCTAATGATCTCTTAGAATAACAGTATTCACATGGTTTTTATAGTATTACTTCACTTAAGATTTGGAATAGATCCAGAACTAGATTCCTTGCATAAATATTAACCTGAACTTTCCACATCACCATTTTATTTATAATTTAAATAGATTACAACGATGAGAAATTAATTTTATTTTATTTTATTTTTATTTTTATTTGTTTTTGGTTTTGGTTTTTCTCTGGTACTGGGAACCGAACTCACGACCTTGCGCTTGCCAGGCAGGCGCTTTTGCCGCTGAGCTAAATCCCCAGCCCCGAGAAATTAATTTTATTATTTTATTTTATAGAATGGAAAAATTGAATTATTAAATGTGCATGCATATGTGTAAGTATTATTTCTTTTTTTCCTCTGTTACAGCACAGATGTGTTTCAAAGACTGAACTCAGATTCGGCTCTGACTGCTTCAAAAATAGCATCATTTGAAGAAGCATTTATGTATCTTCAAAAGTTAATGGCAGCTGTGAAAGATATTCTTGAAGGAATCCAGAGGTGAACACTAAATGTCAAAGCTTCATTTTTTTGTTACTTTCCCCTTTTCTCTAGGTTTATCCACTTTTTTTTAAGAGTTGCTGGCAGTGTTCCAGCAAGTTTTATAAACTTCTCCCTCCCCTGCAACAAATCCTTATCCTCTATCTAGCTTGGATCACAAGAATGTTTTTACTTTTTCTTTCTGGAACATAAGTGTGTTAAAATAATTATCATTGTCCCTTTAAAGCAAATATATATTAGTATTTTTAAATATTTGAGTTTATGTGATACAGTTTCACAGTGCTACAAACTGAAATATAGTATGAAAAGCAACATACCCTTAATGATGCTCTGAGAGTTACATGTGTTTAAGTATTTGTCTTTATTTTCAGTATAGTTCCAGGAAGCTATAGAATGGGTTATAGCACCTTCATAACCTTAAAGCAAATGCTTCCTTTAAGAATTCTAAAAGAGCCCAAACTTTGCAGTTGGAGTGGTATGTACTAGAATTGCTTTACCTGAATTGGGTATGCAACTTGCTAACAGAAAAGTAGTTTTTTATAAACTAAAAAAGAAACAACAAAAAATGGACTACTATGCCCATGTTTAAGAAACTTGGAATTTCCAGATGTCTCTTTTTTCTTCCTTGTCTCTTCAGTGGTTTTTAGGAACTTAATCTCCTGTTAACATGAAAGGCATTTTTATTTCTTTGGCTCATATTTGGTCTAAATGATTTTTAGAATGAAAAATAGTTCAAGTCTTTTATCTAAGTTGTTAATGAACTAAAACATGGCAGATTCTAATATAAGTATTACCTGTAAGTACTAAAAGTCACTGTATTTATTTATTTATTTGTTTATTTATTTGTCTTTTTGAGACAGGTCTCACTATGCAGTTCAGGCTGGCCTTAAGCTCACTTTGTAGCCCAGGCTGGTCTCGAACTCGCAACGATCCTTCTGCCTCAGCTGGAGGGCTGGGATTACAGGCATGCGCCACCACTTTATAACTTACTATTAGATAAGAGTGCCTTGCTTATAGTTATTATTAAAACTGTTGTTCAATGTAGATTGCATTAAAAGTCATGCATGACAATACCTTTTCTAGTCTTTTTGAGACAGGGTCTTGCTATGGAGTTCAGGGTGGCCTTGAGCTCACTTTGTAGCCCAGGCTGGTCTCGAACTTGCAACAATCTGCCTCAGCCTCCCGAGTGCTGGGACTACAGGTGTGTGCCACCACGCCCAGCAGCAGTAACTTTTCTAAAGAAAGTAAGGACATAAACTTGTCTTTAATCATTCCACAAACACCTATGGGGCACCAGCTATGTGTCTTTTGACCGCACACAGCTTATAAAGCAATGCATTCATTGTCTGCAATCCCAGCACTCAGGAGGCTGAGGCAGGAGAATTGCTGCAAGTTTGAGGCTAGCGTGGGTTACAAAGTGAGCTCAAGGCCCGCCTAAACTACATAGCAAGGCCCTGTCAACAAGACCAAAAAATTAATTAATTAATTAATTTTAAAAATGCAGTCATGTTAAAATGGATGTAGTAGTCCCTTTTTTCTGCTAGGCATGTACTTCAAGATCCCCAGTGGCTGCCTGAAACCAAAGACAGTACCGAACCTTATGTATGCTATGCTTTTTTCCTCTACATATATACTTACAACAAAGTTTAATTTATAAATTAGGCACAGTAAGAGATTAGCAGTGCTAACAAGTAGTAATACACAATTATAACAATACACTGGTAGGGCAGTTATGTCAATGCAGTCTCTCAATATCTTGTATTGACTGTATTTTCCGACTGTAATTGTCTTGGGTAACTGAAACTCTGGAAAGTGAAACCCCAGATAAAGGGGCTGCTGTAATTGCAGTGAAGAACCATTAGTATTTTGATATGGTGTATGCAGTGGATGGAGAGTTTGGCTAATGATGTCTGGATTAGAGACTGGAGGAGAATGTCTCACAGGCTATACAAAGCAGTTTCCACTTACCCTGTGGGCGAATATTCCTCACACATAGAAGGCTATAAATTACGAGTCACAACACATGTTTCTAGTCCAGAAGCATTGGATATATTGCATACTGTACTACTTTTTAGAGAAAATATATGGACATATTAATGGTGTTAAAAACTTACATTGTAGAAAGACTTTTTTTTTTGGTTTTTCTCCAGTACTGGGAATTGAACTCATGACCTTGCACTTGCCAGGCAGGTGCTGTGCCACTGAGCTAAATCCCCAACCCCTGTAGAAAGACTTACTTAATTTTAAAAACTTTAAAACATATTGATGCCTGGATCTTCCACCCAAAGAGACGGATATAATTGGTCTTGGCATGTTTGGCTACCAAGAAGTTAATTGAATTAGTGAGTGATAGGTTTTTCTGAGATAGGGTCTTGCTATGTAGTTCAGGCTGGCCTTGAACTCACTGTGTGGTTCAGGCTGGACTCAGCCCTGTAGCAGTTCTTCTACCTCAGCCTCCCAAGTTCTGGGAATACAAGTGTGAGCTACCATCCCTGGCTCAAAATTTTAAAAACTTTTTCAGAAAATTCTAAGAATATTTTGGCAAGGTTGAGAACCACTGTCCAGTATACTTACCGAGTGGTTCTCAAAGTGTGGGGTGCCTGGAACTTGTTAAATGTACAGAGTCTCAGGCCTTCCCAGACATACTGAACCTGTACATACAGAAACTGCACATGGTGCCCAGTGCCTTGTGTCCTCCAGGTAATTCCGTAGACAGTAAAGTTGAGCATCACTGGGCTAGGTGATTTTCAGTCCTGGTGACAGATACAGTCACCTAGAGTGGACTTGAGCATAGGCATTTTTACCAGCTCCCCAAGTGGTGATTGTGGAGCCAGGGTCAAAAAGATACAGGCTGTATACTGCTTAGATAAGCTATTTAAAATAAATTATTATATGAATTTTAAGGCTGATAAAATTTTGTTATCCTTTCCTTGTAAGGATCCGTAACCCCAGGAATAAGAAAATGTTGGTGACTCTTACCATGTGACCCAGGATAAATTATTAAAGCTATTTTGAGCCTCGGTTTTCATCCATAAAACAGACATGGTAATAACCTTCCCATAATGCAGTGCTTTGATAAGGTGTTGGTATTAATAGTCAAACTTGCAGTCTGGGAGATGAGTACTGCTACTCCGCTATGTGAGCAGCTTACTGGGATAGTAAACTTAGTACCAGTAATGAATTGAAGATGCAAAGTTTAGAAAGGAGGAAACTTTATTGGAAAGGGTTAGAAATGAGCAGATAGATAGCTATCCTGATAAGGACCAGGGTACCGTAGCTCCAGAAAGGTGGAGGACCTGTGGGTCCCCTGTTCCTGGCACCTCTATAGGGGTCAGAAACCCTTCCCCCACATGAAACTTGCCATAGCTCGGTTGGCTTCTGGGCACCCCCTGCCTTCATCATTTTCTTCTGGTGGTGTCTGTGTAACTTCTTTCTGCTTGTTTGTCCTTGACAAAAGCGTATCTTTAGAGTGGACAGCGGTTTGGCAAGGGGTGGCCTTATTCATGGTTAGCTTAGAGTTGTGTATACATGCGATACATGTTAGTCTGTTAGTGCGTGTATACACTAAATAAGAGCTTTCCCCAGTGTTGGTCAGCCCCCTCCGCACCTTAGTTTCTCCTTATCTTGGCTTTGTGCATTTGCCTCTCTGTGCCTGCCTGTCAGCTTTTTCCTCTGGTCTTTTGGTATAAGTCTGAGGGCCGTTTGGTGTCTTTCAGTTTTTCTCTTTATTTACCCTGTCCTTGAAATTGTACCCAGGGAATTACTCTAATTAGGTGTTAATTCCTTCTAGTCAAGATGAGGTAGAAAACTGATGAGGTGCTTATTTTATTCATTATGTGCCTATACAAAACCAGTAATTTTCAGCTTGTTTTTAGGGGAACTAGTTAAAAATGCAGAATTCTAGGTCTTAGCCTAGACTTACTGAACTAAAAAGATAAAAGTATTTTGTACAGCAGTGAACTTATATTTTGAACAAGTTTTCTGGGGGATTTGTAGAAGTTTCTGGGGGGATTTGTATGCATATGGTGAGAGACCAGATTTAAAGAAACAAACTATCTAAAATTTTATGTTGTAGGGAATCTAAATGTTACATTATAGAGAATAGAAGGAAAAAAATGCAAAGCTTAGTAAATGAGGGAAAGGGGTTGAAAGGAGGGGAGGGGGCTGGGATAAAAAGCAAGGTACATCATGTACAACTACAGATTCCCTATGATGGATATTACCATTATGTATATCTAAAATGTACCAATAAATTTAAAAATAAAAGGAAGAAGGAGGTGAAAAAAGATCATACCACCTGCCTCACCTTCCCTGGCAGCCTCCATGGAACTCAAAATACTGGGGGCAAAAGAAAGTCACAGTACCACCTGTTTTCTCCTCTGTTACCACTAGAGGGCACTGCCAATAAAATTCACATGTGCCAACATTCATTAATCAAAATATTAAAAATTATAATTTTTAAACTTTTTTTGTCTTTTTGAGACAGGGTTTTGTTATACTGTTCAGGCTGGCCTTGAACTCACTCTGTAGCCCAAGCTGGCCTTGGATTCCTGCCTCAGCCTCCTGAATGCTGGGATTACAGGCATGCATCACCATGCCTGGCCTATTTTTTAATTCTTAAGACACTTAAAATATTTTAGGAAATGGAATCATATTAAAATAAGCATATTAAAATAATATACTTTTTTCTTTTGCTTATGGGTGAATTAAAACATTTTTAAACACTGAAAAATACATTCGTTTGTAATGGCTGAAAATTCATTACCATCTTCTGATGCATATTACCGTAGCATCATTTCATTTGATTTTAAGATATACTGTGTGCCCAGTGTATATGTCTGCTCTAATTCCCTGCATCTTAAAAATAGAAGATGTATGATGTTACATTGGCAGTTAGGAATAAGGTAAAGTGTAACCAGGTCCTTCAGTTAAAGTGAGTGAAAATGCAGTTGGTAAACTAAGAACTTGAGAATCTATCCCTTTGTAGCTTAACTTGGGCA